AAGTCCGCAGTTGTCTAGACAAATGTCCATTACATGATTGCAGCCTCTGCAAAAAATAAAAAAAATATCCTCAATTTTCTCTGTTAACACGATTAATCATCATCATCATGTTTTAAAGCTTGTGTTCAGATAACGAGATAATGACATTTGAATCTATATACATATGGACTCTGGTGAATCAACTTTGGTCACTCAAGGGTGTAGATGGCGAGTCGTCATTACTTTCTGACGTATAATCAATTATATATGATACAACTAACAAAGGCAGATGGTTGAAATACCATTCATTTTGTACTTTTTTCTTTTTCCGAAATCATGGAACTGGAGGCCTTAAAGAGCCGGTGTTGCTAACTTGCATAATGGCCACTTTTTGGTAAAAATCATCAAGACATGGCAATCACTCTATAAAAAGATAATTGACAATTTCAGTCATGTTCACGTATTTTACGATCTTGTCCTACTGGTCATTTTTCCCTTTTAAAGTCTCCATCTACATTTGTATCTATTATACTTTTCAAGATAAAAGGCAAAAACTAAAAAAAAAAAAAAGAAAAGATAAACATCATCTTTAAAGGGCAATTACTCCAATAACGAGTCTAATGAAGATTTTCAGTCATGATTGCTTATGTGTAGATCTTGTCTTGCTGATCATTAAAAATTTTGTGCTATTTAAAACTTCTATCTGTCTATTATAGTTTTTTAAGATATTAGACAAAAAATGCAAAAAATTGGTAAACATTATCATTAAAGAGCAATAACTCAAATACGGAATCGTCTAACAATTTCAGCCACTTATTTGTAGATCTTGTCTTGCTGATCACTTTTAATTAAAGATCATTGTTATCTACTTTTATTATAGTTTTCAAAATAATCAGCAAAAATGAAAATAAAAATGGTAAAATTTGACATTTAAGGGCAATAACTCCTAGTAAGAAGTCGTCTGACAGTTTTGACGTAAATAGACAGCAGTAGATCTCAACATTGTGAACATTTCTGCTAAGGTAGAGTTTCTCTATTTATCGCGGTTTCGAAGATATAGTCACAACTTACATTTTACTCCCTTATGTTTTATTTTTATCCATGTCGGGCATGTTTGCTTGCAGGCGTGGTCATCGGACACATTTTCAAATTAGATACATTAAAAATAATATTTGTGGCCAAGTTTGGTTAAATTTGGCCCAGTAGTTTCAGAGGAGAAGATTTTGGGCCAAGTGAGCTAAAAAATACTAATTTTTGTTTGCGTTTTCTGTTTTAATGACTTCTTTAAAAGATATGTTACAAACAAATACAATATCAAGATGAAGACATGATTCAAGTTTTCATGTTTTATTCCCCTTTCCTTCTTAAATTTGGATGACCACTATTTTCTGTACATGGACCTTATTTACTCATCCCCTTAATATCCTACTGAATATGCTTATGAAGTCAGCATATTGATATGGATCACGTGACAAAGCTACTCAGGGCAATATATTATTAATGAGCTACGTCGGATAGAAATCTACCTTATGCAAATGAATATCAATACATCTGTTAACAAATTTCGGGTTGAAAAAATCTCTATGCCAAGTCTGTCTAACTGTTTTTAAATTGAGTTGATATGAGAACCCTGCAAAACAAACCCAAATTCATCATTTTATTTCGTATTTGAATGTTCCAATCAATCAAAGTCTTAGACATGTACATGCATAAGGTCGATTTCTATCCGACGCAGCTTAATTTTATAAAACAATAAAATGCTCCGCTGGGAGCAGCTTGATACGACCGCAGAGTTCGAACCCTGAACAGTTGGGGCAAGTATGGACACAACATTCAAGCTTGATACAGCACTGACTTTGGGTTATGATTAAATATTTGACACAGCATAGGTTTCTGACACAGAATGAATGTGGTCTAAGAACTTAAACATTTTTAATTTACCTATTCGAACCATATCATTATTATTTGCTTTTATATGTAAATCAGAAATAACCAATTTAAAATGGAAAATTTTAAAGAAAAGAAAGGAAAAAAAAATCCCCCCCAAAAAAAATTTTTTTGAACCCCCTTATGATTCATCACCCGAAGCTCAATCCCAGCCTTCCCTTTGTGGTATGGTACCTTGCAGTACAATTTCAGAGAGATCCATACACTTGAACAAAAATTATTGTCTGGAAACTAGAAAAATGCTTATTTTTGGCCCCTTTATAGTTCCTAATTCCTAAACGTTTTGAGAAATTACACCCAAACTAAATTCCAGCTTTCTCTTTGTGATATGGGACCTTGTAGTACAATTTCATAAAGATCCATACATTTACACACAAGTTATTGTCATGAAACTAGAAAAATGATTGTTTTTTGTCCCTTTTTTGGCCCCTAATTCCTAAAATTTGGAGGCAATTACCTCCAAAATGAATCCCAGCATTCCCTTTGTGATATGGAACCTTGTGATACAATGTTAGAGAGATCCAAACACTAACACACAAGCTATGTCTAGAAGTTACAAAAATGCTTATTTTTTGCCCCTTTTTGGCTCAATTCCTTAACTGTTCGTACCATAACCCCCAAAATCAATCCCAACCTTCCTTTTGTAGTATTGAACCTTATGGTAAAATTTCATAGAGATCCACTCACTTAAATTAAAGTTAGAGTGCGAAAACCAATGTGTCTTCGGACGACGACGACGACGACGACGACGACGCCAACGTCATACCAATATACGACCACAAATTTTTTTTGCGGTCGTATAAAAAAAATAGTAGGTACATTTGAGGTTATGTTTTCTCGGTATAGTAATGTTCTGTATAAAATGTGGTAGACAGCTTACGTATTTCAGAGGAAGACGTTCGTTTGCTATGACTACAAATGATTGGATATAACTTAAGCAAAAAAGGCTGAACAATATTAGACGAAGCGACGGGATCAAATACAGATACACAATGCATGCTAACAATCAACAGTATTCACTAATTATACTTTTATTAGCCAATACTTGGTCATGTTTTGTGAATATCTAAAGTCCAAGCTTAAATAAGAAAAGAAATCCGCGCTTTTTATTATACTTATTATATTTTTGTTAATATATCACTTCTGGCAGAAAGTATTGCGAATGTGTTCATTGTTAATAGAATAAAATTGTCATGTCGAAATCTCAATGTATCATTTTATATCACACTTACGCTTAAGGCCGGCAAATTGAATTAAATGATTTTCTGTCCTAATAAGATGTGCAATTAGTAAACGTTTCAGATGTACAATACAATTATAAACGAACTGAACTGACGGCAGTATTGATCACGGATCATCTAGTGAAGAAATGGTAAACTAAACTAAAATATAACTCCATGGCCTTCTTCTTCTAATTCACAGTTATGGCGTGATCGTCAGTTTGCAAAGAATTCTGCTCAAACCGGTGCTAGCTATATAGGGGCCGTCTTAAACTTGCAGTGATGTGAGAGTTTAAGCTCCGTGTTGAAGGCCTAACTGTGACTTTAAGATGAAGAACAGCATTGCCAATACAAGCGCTGTTCCTTTGCTTTTTGTGTATTTTGTTATGTATACACTCATTTTGTGTCATGGATGGACACACCATATCATTTTGTTTCTATTAGACTTGTAACATATTTTAGCGCACCTTGCTCGCTCTCGTCCCATATTGCAATTTACTGACCCCGGATATATCGTATTAGGTGACTAGCACGCTGTATAACTAGTAGCAAACACATAGTCATATATCATTGCAAGCAAAGTGAGTTATTTGTAATTGTTGGGATGTGCTGGTGTAAAAGAGATGTGGACGATACAAAATGGATAAAACTCATCTGCCAATAACAAACTGTTATCGGCATGGCAAAAAATGAAGAACGATCAAAAGACAAACACCAATAACAAACTGTTATCGGCATGGCAAAAAATGAAGAACGATCAAAAGACAAACACCAATAACAAACTGTTATCGGCATGGCAAAAAATGAAGAACGATCAAAAGACAAACACCAATAACAAACTGTTATCGGCATGGCAACAAATGAAGAACGATCAAAAGACAAACAGTCTACAAAACATAACATAGAAAAACATAACGACCGAGCAACACGAACTCCATCAATAAACTTTTATCACAGAGATATGTCTCGCTTTTTTGTAATTTTGATATGCAAATGTTGAAATTAAAATGGCAATTCTTAACAAGTTGGGCTAACATTCAAAGTCAATGAACCATGACTGAGGTACATGGCTAAACCATCTCCATGTAAATGATAAGCGCCAATACTAATAAAACTGCATACCAAATATCATTGAGTTATAATAAGTCGTTCCCTTTAAACAAACATTAACACAAATATTAACTTGTACACTATGTAAAAGTTTCAAAGTCAATGAACCATGATCAGGGGTGGGGCTATATAATCTCCATGGAATAATACTTACAAATGCCAATAAATTTGCATACCAAATATCATTGACTTAACATTAGCCTATCATCTTAAACTGATCTTATCACAAACTAATACATGTTAACTAAGCAAAAGTTTAAAAGTCAATAGACCATGACTGAGGGGGCAGGGCCAAATAATCTCCATGGAAATGAGATGTGCCAATGCTAATACAACTGTATACCAAATATCATTGACCTACCACTAATGGTTCCCCATAAACTGACCTAATCACAAACTAAAACATGTAAAATAAGCAAAAGTTTCAAAGTCAATAACCATGACTGAGGGGACAGGGCCAAATAATCTCCATGGAAATGAGATGTGCCAATGCTAATACAACTGTTTACCAAATATGATTGACCTACAACTTGTGGTTCACTACAAACTAGACCTTATCACAAATTAATACACTTCCCACGCCGGTAACAGCATATCTTTGTCTCGCTTTTTGACTCCGTCAAGCGAGACAAAAACCGGGGTTGACCTCAGGTGCTCCGGAAAGCTAAGCAGATCCTGTTCCACGTGTGGCCCTCGTCGTGGTATATAGGCCTAACGTGAATCTGATATAATAATGATAAGCTGTAGACTTTAACTTTTATTATTCTTTACGTGTATTCATCATTTTAGAGAGAACAATTAAAACAAAGAAGTAGGCATTATTGATAACAAATAAAGATAAGAGGTCAACGATGAACATGTATTCATGACCAACAAACAAAACAAAACTTCAAAAACCAACAAAAACAAAACTGAGCATATGATGAGATAACCAATATGCTTCTAATAAATTATATCAACGAATCTCCATAATTTTCACTAAATAGTTATCAGTTATTTTCCTTTTAACATAATTGTAGTTGAACTTGGACTTATATTTAGAATAGATCATGTAATGTTTAATAAAACTACTTTCTTGACAAGTATGGTTATACACATGCACATCAGTTACTTAAAACATCAGAGTATATGTTAGCATTTAATTAGTTTTATTTGGACATGTCGGAATGTTCAACACACTGCACTATGTCAACGATAGAGTTGAGGATTGGAAGATAAAGTTATCAAGACAATAAAATTATGATTTTGATTGCATTTTATGCAACCTTTACCCTTATTAAAATCCGTAATTTAGTCCTGTATCTAAGAGCTAAATGGAAGCTACGTTACTGATAAAGGACTATATGCAGTAAATATAGCTGCTAAATATAAATTTAAAAATAGATTTTAAAAATCAAATTTTGATCTGAAAATGCATGAAATATTTTTCCACAAGACGTTTTGTTTCATGAAAAAAAGAAGCATTTATAATCAATCATTCCATCTATAAAAATCAAATTACGTAGTGTCAACTGTTTGTTTTTACTTTCTAACTATATCTATATAATACAGTACAGTATAAAACTAAAGATAGATGATAATGATATGTAATACCATCATGATATACAGATAGAAATATACATCTAATGAGATACTGTTTAAACAAGCACTGAGTTGTTACACCACCGGCGTAGGAGCTATCTGTTTGCCCTCCCAGACCACGTTACTTTTTTTGGGCAAACAAAAATATTGAAAATAAAAATGAAAGTGAAAAATGAAAGAATTAAGACATTGACCGACTCCCACTACATGTATATAATACAATAGAAACCCAGCTGTTCAGTCCACTCCTACGTCACTGTAGACTGCTATAAATCAACAGTCCACTCCTACGCCACTGTACACTGCTATAAATCAAACAGTAGTGTCAAGTCAAAATACATTTCTGATCACACATAGTATTTAAGAATTTAAGAAATAAATGTCTGTCTTAGCATTTGATTTATAAACAGAGGATGCATGGTTAATATATTATACATGTATTACAATTACAATACGAAGTTTTGATAAAGGCATAAAATCTCAAAAGGGATGCTGATTAAGCAAGCACTGAGTTGTTATTCTGTCATATGTCTGGTGTCAAAATACATTTCTCATCTTACATAGTATTAATGGTAACAAATGTCAGTCAGTCCCGTTTATTTCGGCATTTGATTTAAGTTCGACCACACATTCTGTTCCGGGGTAGGGTGGCAAATTAAGTTCATATTTCTGAGCAAGGGATTTGGGTATAAATCGTCCACCAAGATAATGTGTCTTTCCGTTGAACAGTTTAGCACACAACTTTGGTGCGGTCAGTGATATCAATAATTCTGGTTTCAATCCATCTTCACATCCTTTCTCAACATCCCAACCTAAAAATCAAACAGATACATGTATCACACAAACCATATAATATATATTTTTTTATTTTTGTAGGCAAAAACAAAATATACTCGTTTCCCGCATCATGGCAGAACAAATTTTTTTTCTGGTTACCTTGTAAATTATAAATCAAATTTAATAGTCAACACCTGGCGAATAATCTTCAATTAATGCAGGATCGCTATAGAAACTTAAAGAAGTTAAAGAAGAAATAGCCTAATGGTAAGAAGGTAAGTAAAATAATTTCTTTTTTAAATTTTTTTTATTAAATACATGTCTATTGTGTATCTTTATGGTCTTAATGTCAGTCTGCCTCTTTAAATACAATGCTAGTAATGTATAACAATGCTTTTATAATTATAATGGGATATCAATATAGAGTAGTGTTTGTCGTCAAGGAAGTTATGCGAAAGTCAATGTTTAGTATGTTAAATCGCTTGAAAATATCTGAATTCTCAGAAGTGATGTAAAGTATTCTTCAATCTGATTAAAAGTATTGTACAATGAGTTATACCTTAATTTGTAACTGTAATTAATATTGTAAATATTTTAACATTGCATCCTGTCTAGACAAAATATGTTGTGTCATGTATGTATATATGGACCTTTTGAGTCTGAAATACAGATTATCGTAGCTTATCTTAGCTCATAAGGAAATGTTTTAGATTTATATGGTACTTAACGGAACATTAATGAACTGCGTATGATAGAAATCGACCTTATGTAAATGAATATCAATACATCTTATGATTTATTTTGGGTTGAAAAAATCTCTATGGAAAGTCTGTAATTGTTTGAAAATTGAGTTGATATAAGAACCCTACAAAACAGACCAAAATTCTTCTTTTATTTCGTATTTGAATATTGCAAAATCAGTCAAAGTCTTATACATGTACAAGTATACTGCACTTGTATAAAGTTGATTTCTATCCGCCGCAGATCATTTCTTGACTGTAATGGTGCTTAACCAAAAAATGTCCATAAACCAGTTAGGGTAGGCATACAGATTAAAGGAAGGTAGGTAGAGCAGGAAACACAACTATATTTTATATATGTTTTTTTGCCTAAGTACACAAAAGATACTTCGCCTCAGTGTCAACATCTTTTAAATAACAAATTTGTTTAAAGATACTACAATCTCCATAAAAATAGTTCCAAAAACCAATTAGCATACCATACTTTATTCTATTTTATTTTTTTGTTGTTGAAAATTATATAATATGCAACGGTCTTATGTTTGTGTGCAATATCAAATAAAAATGTCAGCATCAAGTCAGGGTCTCTGTGGCTGAGTTGTCTCAGTAGTTAAACAGTTATCACTAGCTTGTCAACAATGAGGTTGTGAGTTCAAACCCCTCTTCGGCAAAGTGCGTTCGGCTCTAATCATGCATAATTCATTAAGATCGAGTGTTTTCCTGCAGAAGGTTGGTGATTCTCTCCGGATACGTAAGCTTGATCCACCAATAAAAATTGGCCGCAATGATGTAACCAAATGCGCTTAAAGTGGCGTTAAACATAAAAAATAGATCAATAATATATACATGTAGTAATACGTACCAGATGGAACATCGATGCTAGCTATTGGGACTTCAACATTCTTCAGTGTTTCTAGTACGCTAGCAAAGTCTGCCCGAGGAGGCCCTTTGAAGCTGAAGCCAAACAGAGCATCTACCACAAGGTTGTATGAATCACTAATTAAAGAAGCTTCGGACGGCAGGAATGATAAGAAAGGCATATCCATTCCCTCGCACTGCTTAACTAAGCTCTGGAATAAAGGTTTATTTGGACGTTTCGGGTAAAATATCGAGGGTTTATATCCCTGAAAAAGAAAAAAAAAAACTGCACATAAAATTTCAAAGGATGGCGTATTTTGTATGTTCACCACTCTTTCTTTTATCTGACGAAGTAAAATTTTACAAATAGTTTTACCTTGACCGTCACCGGACTAGCATTTCTATAACTATTAACAATATCCATTGAAACCCAATAAGATTGTGTTATCAAGACTTTATGTGCATAGCCAGTATTATGATTAAAAAATGAATAAAGTATTATCGAAGCTGATAGTTTCGAAAACCTGTATTCTTTCTCTTGTGCATTCATTTCATATCTCGCAACCATTACAAAATATTAGGTATACTTCATCCTGTTAATAAACAATAAATTCAGCTTTTATTTCTTGCTTTCGTGGGCATTCATCTCATATCTTGCAACCATTAAACTATATTAAATATACTTCATGCAGTTAATATACAATCCCTTCAGGTTGTATGTGATGAATTTGGACACTTCAATGCTGTATTTGGCAATATAAAACAACGAGTCATCAATTCAATGTAGATTATTAGTACGAATGCAAACACTCGTCAGTCTAAATTAACAAGATATTGAAGTTTTCTAACTATTACTTCCATATCATAACACCCAAACATGCGATCATTTCTAATTATTTATCCCTAATGAAACATCAGTATTCCTAATTATCTCCAACAAACAAAGTAAGATGAGACGTTTGTAATAAAGTTGCTTATCTTTCCAATTTTATTGTCAATTTGTATCTGCTTCTATCGGACTATACAGTATACGGGGTGAAACAGAACAACTATTGTCAATTTGTATCTACTTCTATCGGACTAGACAGTACATGGGGGTGAAACAGAACAGTTATTGTTAATAATTAAGTAACCTTAATTAGGTTTTGTTGAAATAAACTTGTAATTTGTATGTTAATTTCAGCCCATAAGTCTGGTTTAATACAGGTTACTTATATCTTAATTATTCATATAATTGACTATTCTATCAGTTAAGATAAGTATCTCATTGTGTTTCTTATCAAGCAGCAGTTGATTATTCTTATAAACCAGAGTTGCCGTGTATTAAACTGGTGCCAGCCATGAATGATCGAAAGTAATACTACATCTTTTACATACACATTTTTTGTAGACTAAAAATAATTTTATGACATTAACCCTCTTAGATATTATATTGTTAGAAACACTTATGAAAAAAACGGATCAAAAATAAATTTTCTAATCCAACACGGTATTTATCACTAAATTTATTCCTTTCTTGCGCTCTCTTTAAACAGGAGAAATGTTTGCCATGATAAGTTACAGGTTCACAAAATATAAATTGAAAATCGCATGCAGATTTGCTATCAATGACATCAATACATTACCTTTGCAACAATCAAACTTCTGAATAAAAGAAGAATGTGCCTGAGGACACGAATGCCCCCGCTCAAGCTTTGCAATTTTTCAAGTTAAAAAGGGGCATAACTCTAGAACGGTAAATGACTCCCTGTCAAAATTTGAACTCTATCTATGTGCTGTGGTTCTTAGCATTTGTGTATGAGTTTTATAAAATTTGGAAGAGGCAAACTTAAGAGTGCTGAAACGAAAAAAAAATGCAATTATCCAAGTTATAAAGTGGCATAACTCTAAAACGGCAAGTGACTCACTACCCAAGTTCAAACCCTGTCTGCGAGTTTTGAATCTTAGCATTGTGTATGAGTTTCATAAAATGCAGACGAGGAAAACTTAGGTAAGAATGCGGAAACAGAAAAAATTGAAAACTTCTAAGTTATAAAGGAGCATAGCTCTAGAACGGTAAGTGACTCACTGCCAACATTCGAACTCTGTCTGCGAGTACTGGTTCTTAGCATTATTGTGTATGAGTTTCATAAAATTCGATGAAGAAAAGTACAGTTAGCGTGCGGAAGCAAAAAGGGGACGAACGGAAAGACGGACGGAAAGACGGTCAAGGGTAGCACTAAATGCTTCCGTTACCTAGGGCGGGGCATAACCAGTCCCATGAATAGTAACTTTTTAAAATCATATATAAAAAGTGGTTCCCTACCGATGGTGAAACAGTGTACATTATACTTAGTCATTTGGTAGAATGTTGTACATAATTAAGGAATTTCCCTAATGTTGAACATATAGTAAACTTAGCTTTAATAGATTTTCAGAGGATCGAATCGTATTTACTGTAATAGCAAAAAGTGAATTTCCCTTGACGACAACGTATTGGAAAGATGCTTTGTACGATACTGTAATATTTTCCGCTAAATAAATAGCAAAAATGATGACATAGATTATACCATTTAAAACTAATAAATGAATTTTAAGCTGAAACGTTGATTTTGGCTTGTACAAACTTGATTCGAAAAGGTTAGAGCTTTTTTTCACATCTGAGGCTTTTTCCTAGTTAGAATGTGACAACCTCTAGACATAAAAAATAATGTCATGATATGACCAGATATGCAAATCAAAATACGCTTACAAACAAGTGCCGTCCTTTTTCGCTCTGAAAATCATACAATAAAAGTACACTTAACTACTGAAAACAATTATTTTATGCCAGTTGCCTGTTTTACTAATTTTGTAACATCATAGCTTTTATCAGTTGTGTGACAATAACAATATTGATTTAAATTTCATGAAGGCAAATTCTAAGGGATAATTTATTTCAGAAACAAAGTTTGAAGAGAGTGCTGGTAGATCATTTAGGTTATTGTATGTACATATAACTGAAGGGATGAAATGGGCTTGACTGATAATTATTTTTATCAGCATCAAGTTTTAATTTATTTGAGCTCCTTAAAGTCTTATTTTCCAGTCGACGCACCAAGTCTGTCCACTTTTTGAGTTAATGCATGCCATTCCCTAAGTTTTTGGTGTTTTCTTAGCTTTATTTTTATCTTCCTAAACCTGTTCCCTATAATGTATATCACGTTTGGGGGAATATCGAACTTTATGTACATATTTGAAAGACAAAGAGTTCATAACGAATCATTCGGTCGTCGATCATTTTTCCTTATTCACGTATCTGAAAAATAACCCATAAGGTAGCAGTTTTCTAGTTATGATATTCGTATCAAAGGACATAAAAAGGTAATGTTCATGGTATAGAATTAACTTTTATCGTGACTCAAATTCCCCAATGATTGACTGTTCGTCTTATAAATATTCTGTTGTAAATATGAAGATTTAATTTGTCTGGCAAACTGTAAGATGATTAGAAATATCTCAAACTTTTTGACATAACGGAATCCAGTTCTGACAATTTTGATAGAAGACAGAAATTGGAAAGACAACGTTACATCATTGACATAATGAAGATCAAAAAGAACATCCGTTGCTAAAAATGAAGTTTCATATATTTGTTTTGTTATTGTTGATTTCTTGCTTTTATATTGTTTATATTAGGAAACTGTAGTGGTATAATAAAGAAAACATCAATCACTAAGGCGTCGTCTTTTCATTATCAAACCAAAAGTTTATAATTTCAGAGGAACCTAATGTTATAAGATCACAGACAATAATCAAAAGCCAAAGTAATGACATCAAATAAATCACCTTGAGATAATATCACGTGATCATGGACGACTGACAATCTTCAAACTGTTAAACAAGTTCTAATAATCCTTGAATCTATACAATATGTGAATGCGAGTCGACAAATGAACTAACACCGAAGCCAGTAAACATGTCATTGTGTCATACTAATGCTGGCAATTATTGATATATTTCGTACAAAACAATATGTTTTGTATTATACTAGAGAATAATAGTCACAAAGGATTTCCGATTCGATACACACAATGCAGGTCTAATTTCAATAATGTGAGATATATGTAAATTTATCTAGTGATATATTTGCTATTAATTGTATTATTCTCTTGATGTCTTGTCTAACAGGACTCGTTAGATCTCATAATTTTAATGAGTCCCATGGCATTGGAATACAATCATCTGCTGTTATGAGAAAGAAACTCATCCTAATATATTTGTATTTGTAGCTTCTTTGACTGTTCACTTAGATATATAATTTGTTTTATTTACTAGTAGCAGAAATAAAATAACTGTAAAGCTACAAGAAATTTTCATGACACACACATAACAAAAGAACAACAAAGAAAAAAGAAACAGTTAAAGTGGATTCCGACAGGAAAGGTTCAATACTGTCAAAATGTGTGTACTTCGACCTTAGAGTGTTATATATTTATTAGAATGTTTACTGTTTAAAGTAATTTTATGCAAAAAATAAAATAACAAAAATAACCAACTCCAAGAAAAATTCAAGATGGAAAGTCCCTTATAAAATGGCAAAATCAAAAGCTCAAACACATCAAACGAATGGAAAACAAACAACTGTCTTATTCCTGACTTTGTACAAAATTTACTCTATTTTTTTAATTTGCTATCAATGGTTATGTTCTGTTTATGTCTAGTCATAGTAGTAGGATTTGTTAGATCTCATAATTTTAATGATTCCCAGGGTATTGGAATAAAATCGTCTGCCTGTTATAAAAAATAACTCATCCTAATACATTTGTATTTGTAGCTTCATTGAATGTTCACTTAGATGTAGAACTTGTATTATATACTAGTAGTAGAACGAAATAAGATAATTGTAAAGCTACAAAAAATATTCAAGATTGCTATCAATGGTATTGTTGTGTTTATGTCTTGTCATAATATTAGGTTACGTCAGATCTTATAATTTTAATGAGTCTCAGGGCACTGGAATACAATCATCTGCTGTTATTATCATATATTCTGTATTTTCACTTAGATGTAGAATTTGCAGAAGTAAGATACTTGTAAAGCTACAAGACATGTTTATGAATCCCCACACACCCACAACTATAAAAAAGAACAACAAAAACCCAAAACAAGCAATTAAAGTGGATTTCGATTTGTATTCGTAGCTTCATTGAATATTCACTGAGATGAACAATTGTATATAGCAGAAACTAGATAATTTTAAAGCTTCCAGAAATGTATTCTCAAGAAATGATCCTGAATCCGAAAAAATGAAAGCCAAAGGATAGGTTCAGCATTTTGCCCATGTGTCTACAATCGACCTTAGAGTGTATTAAATTTATTATGATTTGTACTTCTCAACGTTATTAACAGCAAAATTTACTTTTAAACAAGCACTTTCTGATTAAATACTACTAGTACTCAAGTTACACCCTTTTACAACAAGATCACAACCGTGTAATCATATATAATATATACTTACAAATAGTTTGAGATGTCGGGCTGCTACCAAACCATCACCACCATTGTTTCCGGGACCACAACAAACAAGTATAGCACCACTATCTCTCGTCATCTTGTCCAAGGGAAAAGTCTGCAAAACAATGTGTGACAATTTGTCTTCAAATCAAAATAAGTATTAGAGAATATTTATTGTATATTTTGATAATGGATAAAAATCAGATCACCAACACTGATGCCTACTGAACTTATGCAACAATTGATGGATAGAACGGTCCATGTCGCTCAATCTTTTGATTTCAGTGAAGTGTTGTATGTGACTTAATACATGTTAATCGGACTCGGACTTCTCTTAAACTGAGTTTTAATGTGCGTACTGTTGTGCGTTTGTTTTTTCTACATTGGCTAGAGGTATAGGGGGAGGGTTGAGATCTCAAAAAACATGTTTAACCCCGCCGCATTTTTGCGCCTGTCCCAAGTCAGGAGCCTCTGTCTTTTGTAAGTCTTGTATCATTTTTAATTTTAGTTTCTTGTGTATAATTTGGAGTTTAGTATGACGTCCATTATCACTGAACTAGTATACATATTTGTTTAGGGGCCAGCTGAAGGACGCCTCCGGGTGCGGGAGTTTCTCGCTGCATTGAAGACCCATTGGTGGCCTTCGGCTGTTGTCTGCTCTATGGTCGGGTTGTTGTCTCTTTGACACATTCCCCATTTCCATTCTCAATTTTAATCTGCTCGTCGATTTTCTTTTGGCCATGTCTTCATTTGACTTATTGTTTCATTGCCCCTTTGGTATTTTCTTTATTTTTTATTACATTCGTGTTGTTTAATCTTTAGTTGTCTGCGTAATGTTTTGTTATTGTTGTTTTCGATTCGGTCTTTTTTTAGCCATTGTGTTTGATATCTTCTTTATGCTTTAAATTAAAATCGCACGTATCAATTTCTTCTTTTTGTTTTCTATACATTTAAAGTTTAATTAATAGATCGTATTATACAGTTAAAAGAAGAACATTGTCCCATTTAAGGGCATCCGATACAGTTATAGGGGAGGTAATGACGTTGCTAACGTAAAATGTTATTTTCGCGACGTCAAATTGTGACATATCCGGAAAAAAGCATTTTTCGACTGATTTTTATCATTCAAACTGATTTCACTTGAAAACGAGTTCATGGACCCCTCTTTTTTAAAATGACATTAGGTTTGATTACGTATGAAGATTATTTGTACTAATTTTCAAAAAAAAATTTTTAAATTAGATAAATAAACAGCAAAAAATGCCGTTTTTTTTTCTGAAATCATGAAACTTTGATAAAAATTAATTATTCCAAAGAATTGTTATACAAATTTAGAGCATACTTATGTCAAGAAGATTTTCCAAATGTTTTTACAAAAATCTGCTTGTGTTTATCTTTTGAAACAAAAAAGTTGGGTATGTCTATCCAAAGGATAGAAATGTTCAAAAATGCGAAATTTTAAGTAAAATGTCTGAAATTTCGACCACATTTATCTCTTAAAGTAGCACATGAAGGTATATTTTTAATTATATATTTGAATTGACTAGGTGCAAAATAGCTTGTATGCAAATTTTCGTAAACAAATCACCGTGGAATCAAAACTGTCTCGTATGCCCTTAATTAAGATCGCAAGATTACTTTTTCTCATTTTGTATTAGATGTTCTGTTGAGTTCTAATAAAAACACACTTGGAAAATAGCAATTGTATACAAAATTACCATGTAATTGAGCAATGACTCCTTGTGGTTTTTTTTTTTGTAAAGCTTCATCTCTTAATTTATATGTCGTAGTGCTGAATCGGATTTAAACTTCAATGAATCAAGATTATACGAAGAGATATACGATTGAAAATCCACTGATTAAATGGCATATGTAAATCTAAAATTACGTGTTAATTGTCTTGACATTTTGGTACTGCTGTAAATCCGGATTACATAGACACTTCGATTAAGAACGAGCTATACTAATATTGATTTAGTTCGTTTTAAAGAGGGTTAATGTCTCCAAACCTGAGAATGTGGTGAACAGTGCAGAACTTATGTAAAATGTCTCAACTATTCTCAATACAAATAACACGATTGAATAATACGTGCTTGAAAATCTCTCATCAAAAGTGCGTATTGCGGTAAATAAACTCATCAGTAACCGGCTTAAAATTTGGTACGCCAGACGCACTTTTCGTCTACAAAAAACTCATCAGTTATGCTCGAATAAAAAAAAAAGTTAAAAAGGCCAAATAAAGTACGCAGTTGAAAAGCATTCAGGACCAAATATTCTGAAAGGTTTTGCAAAATACAGCAAGCAAGGGATTCTAAATTATTAAGAATTAATAAACAAAAAGGGTTCAATCTATGTAATATGTTATATTTGTTTTCTAGTTAACGGTCTTACAAAAACCATCTTACAAAAACAAACCATTATCACTGAACTAGTATATATATTTGTTTAGGGGCCAGCTGAAGGACGCCTCCGGGTGCGGGAATTTCTTGCTGCATTGAAGACCTGTTGGTGACCTTCTGCTGTTGTCTGTTCTATGGTCGGGTTGTTGTCTCTTTGACACATTCCCCATTTCCATTCTCAATTTTATTAAATCAATAAATATTGTCAGGTTTTTTTTTTCAAGGAAGAAGGTAATATAGTGTGTATGCGACAAATAATATATTTTTATTGTAAATGGTGGAACTTATTTGGCTTTGCGTTGTTGAGTTAACGGAACTACAAATCATCATATTTTCATACAAAAAGTAAACTCACTAACCTTTGCTATCGCCACAGCACAACTATACCCAGCAAGTTCCATCAGCTGATCCACAATAAAAGCATATTCTGTAAATAGTTCCTCATCAATTCGCTGTGCTTCTTCTTGACTGAAAAAAGAACGTTATAAATTGAGGATAATGTAAAATGAAATGTTAGGCACAGTTTATTAAGATGCATAATATCATTGTTAGCTTATACAACGTACTCCCACTGGAGTTTTTGATTCGGTTCATTCAGGCAAACTTGCACGTAATTACAGTCCTGGACATTGAAATATCCTTAGTATATCTTCCCTTTGTAGCCTACTCATTAATATTGTGATGGTATAATGATTATAGCTTTTTAATTAGAGTTACATATCACCATTTTGTTCGTCACATTTGGCCCATTTTTCGTTTAATAATGGGTATTTTCATGAATTAATGACTTTTTTTTAAATATCTTTTGCCGTTTTTGCCAATATTGTTCATTAATTTGGATACACATAGAACTTCCGGTATTGCGTACATGGCTTTTTTTGTTTTTGACGTAATTACCGAAAATAACAGTTTACCTCCATTATCGATTATTCTTTTTAACAACTGAGCTCACGAGTAGTTATTTAAGTATTTGAATTTCGTTTTTTTAACCTACCTAAATTATACATTACTACGGTAAGTATTTGAATATTTGAGGGGCTATGGAACCAACAGAGACATAAAGAGAATAGCCATATCCACCTAAGGACAACTTTTTCTGAAGGAGTTGGAACCTCAAAAATGTTTTTAATAACCTAGAATTTTATCAATGGAGATATAAGAAATGCATGCAAAAAATCATGTGTAGAAACAGTGTCTTCTAAGCTGATGATGCCCTCGGGGACTAGCAATAGTATTGATGAAGGGCTAGAAATTGAAAATAACTTTCTTAAATAAACTATATTTATTATATACATTTGGTGCGCTAAAAGTGATTTTCTTGATTTACATTCATCAGGAACGATACCCCCCCTTCCAAACAAAAATGAAATATCAAATGTGTCCATATGCCCCCAATTGCATATAACGTTATAAAGGGGCATAACTCGAGAACGGTAAAAGTGATTGGTTTAGGCAAACTAAAGTTAGAGAACGGAAACTAATTTTGGGACGAATGTACGGACGGAAAAGGGTAACACATAAAGTCCCCTCCGGTGCCGGATGCATGCAATCTTTAATACTTGAGGAGCTATATATAAGATATATGATCAGAGGGACCTAAAGAAAATAGCCAAATGCAACAACGATAAACTTTTCATGAGGAAGTTGCAGCCATAAATATTTCGAATATTATCAACTTTTGCATGATATTGATAATGACTAATGGCGTTACGCGAGCCTCACAATATTCATTTGCTTACGTTAACACATATTATTCAGATGGTGATATGACATTGGCAGTTTCTTAAGGACCGGTATGATCTTGTACTCAAGCATTTTGTATCTCAAAATTAATTTACTGTTGTATTTGTGTATGATGTGCGGGTACAAAAATATATTCAAATGTATATAATTTTTAAAAATCCCTAAGTTGAAAAAAGTATAATTGTATACTGAAATGTGCGTTTAAGTTTACGTTTGGAAAACATCTAGGCAACTAAAAAGATCAAAATTGGCTCCACAACATAGAGGTGGAAGGTACCAAAAGAAGAATCAAAACGTATTAGTCGAGAGCGACTGACAAAAATTATGGCAAAAAAGCGAAAAAACAACAAAGCCATACAACTGTTTACCAAAACAAACATGGCAAATAAAGACTGGATAACTCGAACCCCTCCAAAACCGGGGTGATATCAGGAGCTGCAGACGGGCTAGCGGACCCTACTCAACATACTAGAAGGTCTTTTGATATTTTGGATAAGAAGTGGAATATACTAGAATGTCTACCTACGCATTGATAATATTTAAACCTATATAAAACAAACTTAAGTAGTTTAAAAAAAAAAAACGTTTCAAAACTGCACCCCCAGAAGAAAAGATCTTTGTTCTGCGTGGACTTGTAATAGATTGTAGAAAATTGTTCAAGTACTAAAATACATATTCTCAACTTCATTATTTTCAAATGTTCTGGAATACAACATAAATCATTTTGACAGAAAAATATACATTTCATGTAAATTTATGGAGTATGCTTTGCAATAATAAGAGATTCATGGCAGCATTTTCCACAAAATCGCAGCCTTATTACATAACAATCAAACATCATTTATTCTTATTGACTGTGAGTCCCCGAGGGTATCATTAGCACAGAAGCTAGTTCTTCGTAACTGGCATGAAAATAGGGATCTTGTTTTATCTAAATTTGCTGTTATGAAATTTCGAAATAATTATGAATTAAGGGATGTATCTCCGTCAGTGCATAACTTTAGATTCATCTCCGTATTTGGTTATAGTTTCGGTCCGTTTTGATTTTTTCAGCTCCTCAACGTTTGTATAAGCTTTGGAATTTTTAAATATGTTGGCCTCCAAAATTAATTGTAGAAATGCGCATCTGTTACAGTAAAAATTGGTACCGTTAATGATATTGTTCATCTTAATGATTTAAGTGACAATCCTTAAAAGGCGCTTTTAAGTTCCTGATGTTGAATAAAATATCGAAATCACTTTTCAGAAAACTAAATGAGTGTTTAATCAAATCATACTACAACCGAGAGATGCTATTTAGACAACACTATCTTTACATGAAGTTTTATCGATATTAAGGAGACTAAAATAAAACATTTTTGTAAAAAGAGGTGCGAGCGAACGTTTTGATCTATGTTTTCTTCTAATTAATTTCAATATATTAAGGCCAATGGAAAATCATATTTCTGAAAGAAAATTAAGTTGTCCGTGTTAACATCTGATTTTATCTTAATTATAAAATCAAACCATGTCTATATTTTACCTTGTAGAAAAGTGATACGAAAACAAATGAAGAAAAAAATGAAAAAAAAAACATATAAAAATCAAAATCGGGTTTTAGTTTGAATAAGTATATCAAATCATAGAGTACGACATTAGATTTAAAAAAAATGTTTGTCCTGTGAGGTAAGCAAGAACATAATTGAAAAGAACAATGAATGTACTCTTGCCACCACTGTCTACCTTACAGCCTATTTTACACATTTTTTTGTTTTAAGCGGAAACACAGCACACATCTGACAATTGAAGAATTCAAAGTATCCAAGGGATATTTAAACCAAGGATTTGGACTTGCATGCGCAACACAACGGATGCATCATAGACATATATTAATTTATTACATCATACAAAAGTAATAACCAAGAAAAGGCTAGGACGTAAATTAAATGCCAGCAAGACAAGACTGGGCACACAGTATTATTATGATAAGAAACAAAATTAGCTATGATTGTAAATTAAGATATTTATTGCGTGCATTTATTAATGCAATTGTTGAACCGTTCACGATGCTATCCAAATTCACAATAAGTCGCAATCTTGTACGACAGACGCGCGTTTCGTCTACAAACGAATCATCAGTGACGCTCGAATAAAAAAAGTTAAAAAGGCTAAATAAAGTATGAATTTGAAGAAAATTGAGGACAGATTATTCCGAAAGGTTTTTATTCTGTAGTTAGTCACCACTTCGGTGGTATCATGTATATCTATTTTATAGTCATTTTTATAGATTTACTGTTTACGAAAGTATGAATTATTCTAAATACTTAGGATTTTCTTATCCCAGCCGTATTTGGCACAACTTTTTGGAACTTTTGGTCCTCAAGGCTCTTCAACTTTGTACTTGTTTTGGCTTTCGTACTTTCTTGATCTGAGCGTCACTGGTTAGTCTTGTGTGGAAGAAACGCGCGTCTTGCGAATTAAATTTTAAACCTGGTACCTTTCGTTAGCTATTATTCGTATGTTTCTCTGTCCTATATGTTCTCCCATTTATTTGTATTGTAGTCCTGTCATGTAATGTTGTCATTTTAAAGTTATATTTAACATTGCCATAAAAGCAGGAGGTTTGGCTAGCCACAAAACCAGGTTCAACCCACCATTTTTTTCTTAAAATGTCCTGTACCAAGTCAGGAAAATGGCCATTGTTATATTATAGTTCGTTTCTGTGTGTGTTACATTTTAATGTTGTGTCGTAGTTCTCTTATATTTGATGTGTTTCCCTCAGTTTTAGTTTGTAACCCGGATTTGTTTTTTTCTCAATCGATTTATGAATTTCTAAAAGCGGTATACTACTGTTGCCTTTATTTGCCAAATACTGTTAGGGTAATCTATACCTGGAGTCGAACAATCCTTAGTATTTCGAAAAATTCTAAGTTATGTAAACAGTTGATTTATAATTATGACCATATCATTGATAACTCATGTCTACATAGAAGTGCTGACTACTGTGTATTGTCTAGTATAACAGACAAATATCACGATAATTGTATGTACAGTGCATTTCTTATCAACATTATGATGGTTTATTATCATGCTGCGAAATCATTTGATATTCATCATGTACCTAACTAAAGAAATTAATTCAACATACAAAAAAAAAGAATAATAATAAAAGATTTCAAATATCACTTACTACAGTACAAAAACAGTGATTATCCCGTGTCCATGAAATTCCAAAACATTTTCTACACAACACAGTGTTAACTAATGCAAATGACATAGCTTAAACCATTTATAAAAGATAAAGACAATAACTATAAAGAGCCAACCAAAGATTTCTCAATATTAACGTATCTGTAGATGTTGTGTTGTAGATTCATTTTTCCTCTTAAAAGTTTTCTCCCTTTCTGTAATGGTTTTCAAAATAATGGGTAATAACTTAAAAAACAATAAAAGAAGAGTGTGTTCCATGGACACATATGCCCCTACTTGTAAATATTTAAGAGTCTATGTACTAATGCAAACCTGTAGACGTTTTGTTATCTTTGAAGCTTAACAAAGAGGCATAACACAAGAACGGTGAAAGTGACGCCACCGAAATACCGTCTTGATCTATGGTTGGTGGTAATAAGCATGGTGCATAAGTTTCATAGCATTTAGTTAAGGCAGAGAAAAGTTAAAGAGTGCGGAAATGGTAATTTTGCCATTTCTACATTATACAGTCATTTTTATTAGGGTAGGACATTATC